TTGTCGTGTGTTTTTGCGCACATGGCAGTAGCGCCGCTTGTAAAGCACATGACGCAAAAAAGCACGCTCTGTGCGACCATCGCTTGCTCCCCCCCCCATCACAATTGAAGTTTTTAGCATGTAAAAGATGTTATACTGCAATCGAATCCACTGCTGGAATCGTTTGGTAACAGTGCTACAGTCAGAAACTGGAATTCAAGTCGTTTTGGGAAATATGTCGAAATTATGTTCAGCAGAGGCGGCGAACCCATTGGAGGAAAGGCAGGTTTTCAAACTTTTTGTATTGATAATCTTGTGATGTCAGATGCAATGAATAGTTCATTTTTTGACTACTTTTTAGGTTTCCAATTTTTTGCTCGAGAAATCCCGGGTGGTACACCAAAATCAAGGAGAACGCAATTTTCACATATTCTATCAACTTTGTGCAGGGGCGGACGAAAATTTAAAAAGTATGTCTTTTATTAAATTTTTCTATTTTGTTAACAACAGTCAGTACTCTAGACCATGATAACTCCGGAAGTTAATAAAGCTGTTTTGATAACGTAAAGGTAAGCTTGAATGAAACGACGGTTGCTTTAGGTATTAGAGTAAGCATCCGTCACTATAAACAGCCTTTAGGTGCCAACCGGAGATATTATAATATACATTAATGAATATGATATATTAAACTCAGGTGTGCAGGTACGATCGTACCGGCGAACCATTCCAGTCTGGATTTAATATATCATATTTTTGCACCGGACTTAAAGTACTTCGGTCGTTAACTGCATGAATGATTGCTGCTTTGCACCTTTTGCGCTCACTAGCATAAGTCATCGTTGATTTTGCAAAGGGGAACTGAACAATTTCCGTCTAAGGGTCGTTTATTGAAATTGACCTAGTTGTTCGAGAGCCAAAACTTTAAACGCCCGTACACGAGTGTCATACATACCTAGGGGCTAAATTTGAAATATTTGAATTGTTTTTGGATAGGGAATATTCCTCCAAAATTTTAACCCCCCTCCTCCCAGCTTTTCTGGTTATCGAGTTAGCAATTTTACCACCAAATTTTTCAAGTGCCTGTGCGTGAAAACCGCGAATAACTGGGGACTGAATTTCACGCCTTTAGCTTACACATGCACAGAGAATGCTCCTACAGAGTGTCAGCTCCCTACCCTTTCTGGTTGCCGAGATGGCTTTTTCGCCAGAAAACTTGCATATTTTTTGAGGTCTTCGTGCGCGGCACCCGGGCGTGCGTGGGTGATGATATTTAAACAGAAGATCGCAAATGGTGTAGGCACATACTCCCGAAGTTTCAGCCTTCTAGCATTTCTAGTTCTCGAGTTGAAAGTGAGTAACAAAAAATGCGAGCACACAGACTGCCTCTTGTCAATATACGTTTTTGCACTTGCATATATGCAAAAACGCATAAAAATTAGGTGTTGTTGCGGTCCGCCAGGTATGCAACTTAGGGTCGAGCGAACTCGCATAGCTGTCCTAGTTCGTCCGAGTACTTCAGTTACTTCACTGCCTTGGGACTTTCACACCGGTGGCCTAGGCGATCTTGGTATTCGCTGCCCAAAGAACTATTTTACTAATTACACAACTGCGG